GGCAAAATCACATGGTCATAGGACACAATCCATTTTTGTGTGGCGTGAGATCTTTTGAGTGACCATTGAGGTATGTATAACAATGATTTTTTATAAATTTGGGTTGACATTAAATTTTATCACTCTTGATAAAGTATTGTGAGTGATGCATGGATTTTTTTTAAGTGTAAAGTGGTAAATTTTACGTTGAACATTTATTATTTTTAAAATTTTTTTTATATATAAATTCTTATCTAAATTTATGCCCCAAAGTGTTTTGCTTATAACTCGAGCATTTTAATGATATTATCCTCTTTAATTGAAATTTATGAACTTTGCCATTGGTACGGTATTTGATTCAACTTTGATTGCTTAAATTTTATCAACTCTGCATTTTTTTTCTTGGCAATGGATTAGGTTTGTAATCTCTTTTGCTTTAGCTTTAAAGTTTTGTTTGCATTAAAGATTATGGACTCTACTCTTATATGTAGTGGTTTGAGTTTGTGATTTATATATAATTGAGCTCATCTGGACATTTATTATATTAATGTTTACCATAGATGTATGTCTTGTCAATTCTAATTGTTGAAACATGGAAGTTAAGATCCTGCACTATGGTTAGATTACCCACTCGAGAGTGTGTAGCTTGATGTTTTTGAATTTGATTAATAAATATTTTTTGAAATAGTTATCTTTTAAATATTAGCTCTCTTCTCAAAACAAGGTAATTTAAGTTGATTTTATATTAGTCCTCACAACATTTTTTAGGTTTTATATTCTGGATTTTGTCCCCTTCATGAAAGCACATCCAAATATTCAATATTTGATGATGTGCATGCCCTTTGGTTGATTTATATAATACATTTGCATGATTGATGATGTTGTTGACTGTTTTTTGGTGCATTTTATATGATGCAATTGCATGTTTTTAAAAATATCTTTAAAGATATATCATGATACATGCATGTAATTTGAAAATTTCTAAATTTTGTTATTTGCACGAGAATTTTTTTATTAGGATATGTACAAATACATTATTTTGTGATTTAAAGTTTTTTTTTTTTTGGTATGCTTGTGTGTTTCTATTATGGATCTTGTGGTATTATTTAGGAATTAGATTTTATTTCACATTGTTCAAGCATCTTCTTATGTAGAATCTTCTTTCTCTAGTAAATAGAGGCATTGTTTTAATTATCTTTTGTCATTCAAGTTCAATCAATTCCCTTAATTTTCTGAACATTCTTAGTTGGAAGATTGTGTCTGTTATTAATGTGCAATGTGTCAATGCCTTTGTTAAGTCCTTTGTAAGTTCTTTGTAACTCTTATTTGAGCTAGTTGACTTGCTCAATGGGTTAAACATTCAATTTTGTTGCATTTTAGCCTGATAGGTTTATCTTAATTGATTCTTTTTGGGATGTATTTCTACAAAATTTTGGTGGCCCTCTGACATTTTTTTTGGTGTAGGAGGTGTCTACAAGAGCTATGCCTTTCTACTGCACATAGAAAAACGTGCACTATTGGTATCATGAGACACTGTGATGGAGGGTGTTATAACCTATTATGCTCAGAAAAAGCTCACATAAGCTTTCATTTCATTTATAAGAAGATGTTTGAACATAAGCTTTCCCATTGCGCTAAAAAAACATGCATGAGTATTTATTTTTTATATTTTTTCATTATTTTGATCAAGATCTTTTTGCCTTTATGTTCATTTTGATTATTTTGTTCGAGTCTCGTTAGTTTGATTTTTTTTGAGCTTTTAGGCAACTTTCTTCCATAGGAGGGCATCTATAGGAGTCTAGGCTTATTTTATATGCCAAGAAAGATACATCGTTGATGTCATAAGACAATATAGTGAAAGTCTATTATCCTGCTATGCCAAGGAAGGCGTGTATGAGCGTTTGTGCATCTGCATGAAATTTGCAATTATATTCTACTACATTTGAACAACATGCATAAGTACTTATATAAACTTGATTGTCATGCTAAGAAAAATGAATACATTGCTTTGCCAAGCATTGCCTATGAGTTTCTCTCACTATGCAAATGCACATAGGTTTTGCTTTTTGAGCCAAACATGTCATAATCAAAATTTTTAGAGTTTTAAGGATTTCATTTTTTAGGCCTTCACACATGAGGCGCTTTCAATGACAATAAAACGACAAGGTTGTGATGTCTGGCAATTAGTGGGACTACTTTCACATTTGATTAAAAATAAAATTTATGAAGAAAAAATTAGACTTACAGGCATTAATGTTCCAAATATGTAAGCAATTCATAATTTATTCTTACTAATTTTATAATACTTTACATGAACAATTTAGATGATTGAGAAAAAAATTGAACCTTTGTTATAAAAATTGAGATGCTCTACTCATACTATTTTAGATGAAACACAGATGTTTATTTTAGTAATGATTTCATGATGTGGGACAACCGTATTGGAAGTAAAAATTTATAGAATGATTTAACAATTTATTTGTTGAAAAGTTAAAAAAGGAATCCATGAAATCCGCAAATGGGAAGCCTGTGAGATTCTTATATATGTAAGATTAATTAATAATTGTATTTAGAAGGCACTAGAAATATGTTCCAAAATCAAGCTCAATCAAGAAATAGAAAGAGAATAAATCCTATAAAAATGACAATTTGGAGTTTTTTGCGATCACCTCACTCATGACATCAATTGCTTAATTTATCAAAAAAAAAAAAAAAATCTCATGAGACTTTATTAATAAGAATTCTTTTAATAAAATAAAAATTGAAATGCCTCCTCTTCCTCCAAACTACATGGTGAAAAGAAGAAAAAGGAAATAAAATGGTCCAAGTATTGCTAAATGTATAATCAAGAAAAAAGTTCACATACATTAGTTGAGGAAGGCTTAAAACTGACACTTACGAAAGTTTTTCTAACTTTGAATTATCCAAATGAGAGGAATATGATAACAATCTATCTCTTGAAACTTCAAAGATAAAACTTTCTGCAACAATTACTAGCAAGAAGGTTATTACAAATAATAATAAAATAATGTTATGATTAGTTTTTTTTTGAATGAAGAGAAAAAAGGGCAGATCATCAAAATCTCATCTCAAATTTTTGATCCTAGAAAAAGAGAGAAATTATCCAAACTCTTGAATGATAAAAAAAATGATCATAAACCAATTATTGATGCACCAATATATACTATAAAGTGTGAACCAAAATAAAGCTAATAAAAAAAAAGGAACAAAAACTATTATTGTTGACCTTAAAGCTCATTAAGAAGAAATAAACAATAGGACTTCCAAAATGTAATCTTTAATGATAATCCTATTACTTTTTGAAATAAAAAAATCCATTGTGTTCCTAGTTTATGAAAATGAATTTGATGATTGAAATATTTCTACCAAAATTAGGCCTTGCCAAATGAGTAAAAAATATCAAGAATTTTATAAACAAGAAATAGTTGATTTTCTAATTAAAGGAATTATTCGTAATTCTTATTCTTCTTAGAGTTGTACAATATTATATTTTTGAATGCTGTTGAAATGTAAAGAGAAAAAATCTTGATTAGTTATTAATTATAGATTAATAAATAAAATTTTAAAAAGGATGAAATTTCTAATCCATAATAAAAAATATACATAGTCAATTACATTAAACTAAAATATTTTTTAAAATTGATTTGAAAAATTGATATTGACAAATTCAAATAAAAAAATATGATATACATAAAATAACCTTCATCACTTCCTTCAGATATCACGAATAAAATGTAATACCCTTTGAAATTAAAATGCCCTGTCGAAATTTCAATATATTATATTCAATATGTACTTTAAATACATATTCATTTATATAGACAATGTTTAAATATTTTAAGAAATTATTAAGTAAGATTTTACATATTTATAAATAATTAAATGCTATTTTAAAAAAATTGATTTGTCAATTTCTTTTTAAAAATAAATTTTTTATTATTTTCTATGATTCTATTATCTTAATAAATAGAACAATAAAATTTGATAATAAATTTTCAATTATTGTTTAAGGTAAAAATTAATTAATTTGTATTGGAGTATTATCTTATATTGTATATTTTTATAATTAAAAAGTTATAGATGGTGCGCTTTTATTTGATAGATTAAATGGGAATCCATCGCCATGGACATACATTTATGCTAATATTATTGAGAAAATCCTGGAAGGATTAAAAAAGTTAACTTGTTTAAACTTGACAATCCAACTAGTTTTGAGATAGTTTAAACTGATACTTCTAACTTACGACATAGATGTATTCTCATATAAAAAAACTCGAATGTAAAAATTAAAAAGATTCAGTTCTACAAGATGAAATCCTATTCAAATAAAATTTTTTACTATTTAAAAATGTTAACCATTGTTAAGCGAATGTCCAAGCTTCAGGACTATTTACTTAAGGAAAAAAATACCTACATTACATTGATTGTATTGCTATTAAAATTATCATTAGAAATGATGTTGTAATTTGGCTTTTAGATTATTATTTTATAATTGTCAAGCTCAATTTTATATTTTTGATTTTGACATTGAATTAATTTCAAATCAAATAGATTTTTTAACTTGAGAATTTTAATAAGGAAAACTAGGGGTGGACAAGCCCAATGAGGATAGCTTCCATGGGCCCCCAAATTCAACGGGTTATAGAGGGAATCCTTCGTGTGGGAGGAGAGACGGTAATTATCCCCTAAAACGTTAAACTTTTTAACATACCTATGCAACATTGCTTCTAAAATAGAAGTAGGAGAATCCTCCGGTGCTCAAGAAGAAGCATAAAATATAATCAATGAGGTGATTGCCTTAGTCACTTATTACAAAATTAATCTGACAAAAATAAATAAATATGTTAAGAAAACACATTTATTTTGTAGAAATTTTGATGAAAATATTCAATGAAGCAAATATTTAAGGTATCAAGTTCGAATTTACCGTATAAAGTGTTTTTTTGTGTTTTCAACTGTTATAACAACATTTATCAGTATGATTTGTCCTTTCTTAACAGATTGCTTATGCAAAATGCTTACCATGGGAGTGCAAGATTACTAATAACCACAATGATGAGGAGGCTTGCAAAGAAAGCATCAATGACTGGAAAAATAGATGCCTTTCAGCTGCAAAAAATGCAAGGCTCTTGTATCAACGAGCTTTGCATTTGACCCCATGGCTGTCCAATTTATATGCTGATATTGCAATCACGCTGGATCTCATTTATGCTTTGGATGAGAGAGATAAATCAGAGCATGATACTCAGTACGGATTATCTGTTGAATACCTAAGTTTTCATTTGATATTTCATATAGCTTGTTAACTTTTCAATTTATATTCACCAGTCAGTTACCCGAGAGGATGTCTTTGGGAAGCTTAGTTTTTGAGGGAGTTAATTGTGAGTTTTGGGTTATACTGGCCTGTGTAACAAATGATTATGCCCTTAAGCAGCATGCTCTTATCAGGGGATTGCAATTGGATATTTCTTTGGCTGTATCATGGGCATATCTCGGGAAGGTAATGGCGTTTTTTTTTTCTTTTTTTTTCCTATCAGTAGTTATTCATCTTATGTTGTGTTTTGCAGCTTTACATAAAAATTGGTGAAAATAATTTGGCTAGTCAAGCATTTCATCGTGCTAGAAGTTTAGATCCCTCCTTAGCATTACCATGGGCTGGCATGTCAGTAGCTTCGCATGACCGGTAATTTTTTTTTTCCGCAATTGAAAACATAATCAATTTGGTGCATTAATTCTTGGGTTCTACCTTGTCTTATTAAAATTTTTTTTGAAGGAACTATTCCCTGAGTGAAGCTTATGAAAGTTGCCTAAGAGCTGTGCAGATTATGCCTGTATGTACTTTCCAATCATCTTGATTTCTTGCCTTTGGAATTTTTTCACAGTAACACCTGCCTGTAATCTTTTAGCAACATCTAAGATAAATTTGCAATTATGATACTAGAGGAGAAACCCAAACAAAAAAGAGGCTTATATTAATAGGGAAATAGGGTGACAACACACACAAACTGAAAATAACATCACCCAAACATAAAATAACAAACTGAAACACCTTGAAAGTGCGTCACAAGGGCGGTAGAGGTTGGCTAAGTGGATCAGGATGGTTAGCAGGGTGGCAACAACAAAGATGGAGTGTTGGGTGGCAGGTTTGGCTGCAGAACATCGGGCTGCGGACAACCAGTTTGGAGGGGCTGGACAACAGGTTTGGATGTTGGAAAGTGGGATGGAGGTGGTTGGGGCAGGATTGGGGTGGCCGGCGGCTAAGGGGGAAGGGAATGGAAGGCTTAGGGAAGATAAAAGTGAAAATACAATCACCACCTCGGAGTAGGATAGAACCGAAGCACCACCACCTTCTCGTATACAACCCACTAAGGGAGAAAGGACTCCACACAGGAATCTGAAAGCCATACACAACAAGAACTAAATCCTAAATCCAAAAAAACAGTAATTTAAAGACTCTCACAAGGGAAAAATAGAAACGGAAAGCTCCCATATGGTATTCACCAAGGAAGGAGGGGAAAAGTATTGGCAGCAATGTCACCCTTCCCAATATGTCGCTCGATCGAGCGAAAGGTGTGACGGAGTGGGAGACGTAAAAGGAAAGACTGCCCGGGTCGTAAGAAGTCGCTCGGTACTTTGGAAACTTGGATTGGGTCCTCTGGATTGGTCCCCCATGCCAATCGGTTCAGTCGGCTGCGTTTCCCCCCTCCGTGGGGGAAAATCCTGCACCCGCATCTGTAGCGGGAAGGGGGAAAGCCCCGTGTCAGTTTCTTGGGGTTGGAGCCTTGACTTTATTAATCGAAGCTTATGGCTCCTCGTGACACGACATCAAGTCCCTCAGTAGGTCGATCATGTCGGCGTTACGATTCCAGAACACATTCTGATAGAATAGGTATCCGTCTTCTTTTGGCATATTCTGAGCTGAAACTGTAGGAAAATAAGTATTCTCAACGATCATGTATCGAGCCATTTCAGTGGTAACCTGTTTCTTCTACTCCTCGTACTCTCTATCTCAGGGTCCACTAGAACTGGTGGCGTCTCTTCCTCACTAGTTGCATGTGGATAATCCTCCTGGAAGTCTTCATTTTCTCTCGTATCAACTGTCATTGCCCAATTTTTCAACAACACCCTGCTCAGTGAAATAGATCTCTCCCTTTGTGGTGCATTATGTTTCCAAATGCTCAAATCGGTGGCATTTGCGAGACTTCCTGGCTGTGAGTGATTTAGGGATGTGGTCGGGTCTCACCTGTTTCCTACTCTGAATCAGTTTGTCCTCTTACGCGGTCGTTTTGGGTGATCCCTCGGGTGCACTCTGGCTATAAGATCTTGAGGTTGACCCCTGCCTGGAAAATGTGGGGCCACTTGTTGTTGTGGTCCCTCCACTTCTAAAGCTAGACTCTGCAGTAGCGAGCTGGTAGGAATTAGTCCGTGTCTCCCGCTTCATCTTCATATTTTCTCAATCTCTTCTTCGACTCTCCCGATAACGATCGAGGGTAACCTCCCATTGAACATCTTCAATGCCTGTAATCCACTACTGAAGTCGGCGGATCTCTCGCCGTATCTCCTCTCGGGTGGGCTCGGACATGTATCTCGCTGGTGGTATGGCTAAGGTTTAAGAATAAGAAAGGGAATTTTTTGTCGGGTTTGGGTTGTGGAAAAGATATTTGTTGGTAAGAACTAAAGTTTTGGTTTATAGCAGATGCTAGGAAATTCTAGGATAGGACTTGGTTTGGGCTAGCTTTGATACCAAGCGATATCGGAGGATAAATTCGAACCACAAAAGAAACTTTTATTAATAGGTAAATAGGGTTACAACACACACAAAATGAAAGTAACATCACCTAAACATAAAATGACGAAACTGAACACCTCGAAAGTGCATCCCAAGGGTGGTAGGGATTGGCTAGGTGGATCGGGATGGCTAGCGGTGCTCGGGGGGTGGTGGCAGAATTGATGGAGCGTTGGACGACAGCTTTGGCTGCAGAGCAACGGGTTGTCGGGCTGGACAGCTGGTTTGGAGGTGCTGGACAGTTGGTTTGGAGGCTGGAAAGTTGGCTGGAGGCAGTTGGGGAAGGATCGGGGTGGCTGACGGCCAAGGGGGAAGGGAAGGTAAGGTTTAGGGAAAAATAAAAAGGAATATTCAATCACCACCTTGAAGTAGGATATAGCCGGAGCACCACCAACAACTCGGATACAACTCACAAATGAAAAAAATGACTCCACATAGGAATCTGAAAGCGATACACAACAAAAACTAAACCCTAAATCTTGAAAACAGTAATTTAAAGACTCTCATAGGGAAAAAACAAAAAAGGAAAGCTCCCATAAGAAAATTACTGAAAAAGGAGGGGAAAGGGATTGGCTGCAATGCTGCCCTTCCCAATATGCCACTTGATTGAGCGCGAGGTGTGACGGGGCGGGAAATAGGAAAGGAAAGGCAGCCCGGGTCGTATGAGGTTGCCCGGTACTTTGGAAGCTTGGACTGGTCCCCCAAGCCAGCCGGTTCACTCGGCTGGCCCGTTTCCTGTCTCCGTGCCAAAAAAATCCTGAACCTCCATCCATAGAGGGAAGGGGGAAAGCCCTGCAGCAATTATGCTATTATTGGATCGGTGCTTTCTCTGTTGTTTACATAGCCTTATTAGTTATAATATAAAGCCTTATGGTTTGATCAGGACAAATCTTGTTCTATAAGATTTCCGAAAATATATTGTTCCATTTTTTATCTGAATTTGTTAGAAATATATCATTACTTTTTCTGAGGATCATATAGGATATATGAGTTGCATATCAGGTTACAAATATTTTCTTACGGTTTGTCAAGAAAACTTCCTTTTGAACATAGTTAAACCTGCATTGGTTTCTTTGAACAATGGCTCTGCAGTATGTAAGGCTGAAAAGCGAGAGGGTAAACTATATTATGGTGTCTAAAAAGTTAGAATACCATGGCCATATCATTTGGGATTATACGAATTTAAAAATATCCAGTTGGAATAGATAAGGATATCACCAGATTCTAGCAATAAACCTGATGTTCTATCAAATGATTCATATTTGGGCTAAAAAATTGGATTTAAGAGCACCCCTTTCTAATGATATGTTTTATTAGATGGTGATAATTTTTTGAGCTGATTTATAAACTATTTCAGCTAGCATATTATCAAAACTGTTGTCAGACAATGGGTCTGTTTTTGGTGGCTACACTTGTTTGTAAAAGTAGCATTAGAGCTATCGTGAGAAAAGTTGATTTTTTTTAATTATATAATTTTTTTTAGAAGTTGAACAGTAGCTTTTCTATAGCTATCACTTTCGCGTAGATCTAATTATAATATATTGAGTCTCACTAAATTTATTTCAGTAAAAGACAAGAAAATTGTAACCAAATAGTAATGTGGCAGCTGTTGATAAGCAAACTTGTGAAAAGCAGCCTCAGATAGATCTTAAATTTCAGTTTCTTCGTAGAATAAAAAGCACCTTGTTAATATATAGAACAATGGAACAGAGCGCATTGCAATAAGTTTGTCCCAGCAATCTATTTCATTATACAAATACTGAATAGTTTAGAATTTTTTCTTTCTTTTTTAACTTTGCTTATTGTTAGATAATATTATTACATAAAGTATCCTACTCCCTTTTGTACAATTATTTTAAAATTTGAACTGGTTACATTCAGGTTGCAGAGTTTCAGATTGGTCTTGGTCTTTCCGGTCATTTATCTTCTCCGCAGGTGTGTTAACGACTTTTGGTGATTTTTCTATATTATTGTGATACTCTTCTAAACAGCCTTTTATTTCACCCTTTGAAAAAAGTTGGTGTTTGTCATGGCACTTCACATAATCTGATATCTATGTATAGTAAGTGTTCTGTAATAGAAATGTATAATTAGCCGCTCTTATCCTGGCAGCATGGCTAAAATTGCATCAGATGGATGAACCTTTGAGGTCCGTCATCTCAACTGACTATTATGGATGAGTATGGCTTAGTGAGAGGAGGCTGTATGTTTTAGTTTCTTTTTCTTTTACATTCTCTTAACTTGAGCAGTCTGTGAATTTAATTTGAATTAATTTTGAATGCCCTATACCTTGTAAGTTTCAGGCACCTTTCAGCCCCAGGCCAAATCATTAGCTGGCCTTGTTTATTCAGACGTTTCAAAAGATGGCAACTGGTTTCTTTTCTTATGCTAAAACTTTTTCTGCATAAAGGTTTCAACTTAACAATGCAATGTTGCAGAAATACTGTTTTGGAGTTTTTGGGTTGAGATGGGGCACTGAAGCTGTCATGACCCAGCTTGATAGCTTATAATTAACCAAGTCAAGATTTACGGTTGGACGATATTAACCTTTCATTAATATTTCATAGAGTTTCATAACTTTTAATTTATTAAAGAGTCACTAAGATGCCACAAAATATATTAAATAGAAATTTAAATCTTCAAGAAGCAATATAGTTTTCAAATAAAAAACATCGTAATCCACACGCAACAATATCTCTACCGAGAAGCAAGCAATATAAAGAGAAAACTACAATCATATCACAAGATAGTACCTATCAGTTGTAGTTCACCAGTAAACTAAAACTCTTTCCAGACCCATCAATTTACAGTTTTTCACTGTTTAGTGAGCTGTTACAATCTTATTATGCATTAAATTCATATGTAAATGCTATTCATGAATTGTCAAAAGAAAACTAGTTTATTACTTAATAAATCTTTATGCTTTTATTTTAAATTTACCCATTCTCGTCTCAAATTAAGTATTTACCTTTTTTGTAACAACCACTAAAAATGATAAATCAATAATTGAATAGACATAAGTATAATGACCTCTTTGTTTTGCTTCTTAGGAATCGCATATCCCTACCGAAGAGAGCAGAAACCGAATGAGAGAAACAAAGTGCAAGTGATCGTTGGAGAGGGAGAGAAATCGAGAGGAGTATACGAAGTTGAGGCCGACAAGTCCAAAAGAAGAAGAAAGGAGGAGAGGGGAAAAGGAAGGTTGCGGCTCACCTCGATCAACCATTTCCTCATTTTGGGGAGGTTCGTATGGCTCACAAAGATTGATCGAACGCCCTAAGGTTTTTTCTTGAGGATTTCCTCACCCCAACTGAGTCGAAGGGAGGAAGGAAAGAGGGAAGCTGCTCGCACGAAACCTTCAACCGGTTGCAAGGGAAGTAGAACTCGAAACCCTAGTAGAGTGATTCTGGTGCGACGAGGAAGGAGAATCGCACACATGCATGCAATGCTGAATAGTTGAGCTGTGATTGAAGTTAGAGGAAGAAAAAGGGAGCCGAAGCCAATGAACCTTGCTTGCGTGCGTGAAAGAGTCAACCGGAATATATAAAGAAAAGTTTAAGGTTTTTAATTAAATAAATTAAGAAAATGTTATATATGTATGTATGTGTGTGTTTGTGTGTTTAATTGGAAGTTTAATTATGTTAGGATTTAAGCTGTAAAAGATTCAGATTTAAATCGAGAAAAAGGCTATCGACAATAAAGAAAGATTAGGGTTTTAAATTCTATAAGTTTTTTTGTATAAATTAATAATATTTTATATTAATATTAATTTTTATAATTGAACTTAAAATTTAAGTAGTGAAATCATAATTAAATTGGTGTAATACAACAATAATATATAATTAAATTAAACCATAATTAAGCAAAGTGATAATTGAATATTTTATATTTTATAGGTGTTAATTTAAAAGAAGTGATTCCAGTTAAGAGGGAGCAGTTTGTCTATGATTGAGGTGAGTAGTTGTACTTTTAAGTTATAATAATATTTAGTTTCTTCTAAATTCAATTCGCTTTATGATTTGGTCAGATTGGTTTTTCTGGCTCTTTAAGTTCAATTGATCATATTGAGTGTATGTCACTTATATTTTCATGTCATTTAAATCCATAATTCAGGTTATTGAATGGTATGAAAAGAAAATAAAAATGAGATTTATTATTTTGATTGCTTGTATGTGCACTTGACTATGATGGAGATATCCTTTTATGGTACTAGTGGGAAAACACTAAGGTACTCTTGTACGTAAATGAAAAAGTATATTGATATTAAAATACCTTTAATAGTACAATTAGACGGTGCTCCTGTGACAGATGTGTACGGATTAAAAAGATATTGATATGGATAGTAAAAACCATCAAATGCTCTTATATTTTTACACAGTTTAATTGACATGCATGTTTGCTTTTTTTTCATTGAATTACTATAGTTTAGGGGTATGAGTATTCACTAGCTTTATTTAGCTTATTGTTATTTGAAACTATTATTTCAGGTTTAAATTATTTGATTAAGAGATTAGCAATAACAGAGTAATATTTACAGAAAATGTGAACAACTAGAAATGAGGTAAATTTAGCTGTTTTATTTTAATTCATTTTAGTAGTGGCTCTTTTGTACATTAAAATATTAATTCATCTGATCGTCTGTTCTTTTAGTTAATCCAAGTCCTGGGCTGGGTCGTGACGTTTTTTAACCCCTTTAAGAATTCATATCTGGATTACCGTTAAATTCGAAGGTATATTCTAAATTATAACAGTAGGCACCCGAAAAACTTTGCACCCCAAGGTACATCTTTATCATTTTTATATTTTTTTTTCTTGTTTTTGTATATCATGTGCTCTGTCAGTACCATCTAGGGGTAAATTCTGATTGATTTAAGTCTTTACTTATCATTTTATATCAATTTAAAAATCACTTAAATAGACTTTCATATGCCAATTTTTTTTCCTTCCATTTGTAAACATTCAAACATTCAAAATGTAAAACATAAATGAAATATTTATTTTTAAAACCATAATGCAATATCACTTTGATCATATAGAAATGCAACTTCTAATTAAATCATTAATCTAATGTCAATAAGAAAGTAATTACTTATCTCAATTGATATGACTACTCTCCTTAAATTTTAAGTGACCTTTGAAATATTTATTTCCTTCACTTCCTGAAGCACAAACAAATTTCAATCTCTCTATCGTTCTTTAATTAAATAGTTTGACAAATTAAAATCAGTAAAATTAATTTATAAATTGATATGAAATTGATTTTACCATAATTAAACTAATTTATATAATTAGATAAAATGTATAAATATTCACTTTATCCTTAATTGAATGGCAAAACCTAAGAATTTGTCAGTCTTCAATTTAATATAAACCTCAAATAAGCATTTACATTATCAATTATTTTATGGAAATAAAACTTCAACATTTATCTTCTCCTTATTGTATGACATCAATAATTTTTGCCTCCCATTCTTACGAAGTAAATGTGTTTTGATTAAAGGGTCCTATTATAATATTATAAAAGCAAACATTTATTTAAATTAAACCTTAAACAATTTTGATCCTCTGCCCTTACCCGCACGATCACGAGTCGCCTTTCTTCTGCTCCCACCTAAACCTTCCACTTGAAATATCTGTTTTAAATTGATAAAACCTTATATTTCATTAATATAACAGATTAATATATTAAATTTATATAATTAAAACTAAAAAAAATCAAATAACTCACCTTAACTTGTTGAACTTGGTTCGGGGCCCCTTATCCCAAATAATTCAGGCTTATTCTCCTCTGGTTGGGCACGAGCTCTTTTTCCCTTGTACGCACTCGATGCCTCCGTCTCTTTCTCCTTCCATCTTCGGTGTCAATTACTCACGCAAGCACCTACAGAAGAAGTCCTTTCCTCTTCAATTTGGGCTCGACCATACTCGGGAGGTCCATTATTTCATAGTTTATGTTTTTTCTGTCAAGTGACATTTTTCTTCGATCCGTGCTTTCATAAAATCTTCACAAACGAAATCTCTCTATTATGAAGCTTTGTACCATCTTATTCCAGGATCCTTTCAAGCTCTTTTATACAAGTCAAATCAGGTTGTATTTCTATTAAAATTATTAGAATTTATTTATGTTCCGTTATTTGCGTTTAGTTATTTCCTTTCCTTTTCAGATATTTCACAGTTTATGTATTTTCTTGTTTATGCTACTCTTATTTTATAACTCTTGTATCCTACATTTATATCTTTTTAATATCAATAAAATTATCATGCTGAATTTCAACATGGTATCAGAGTAAACAATTTAACCCTAGCTGTCATCAGAACACCACCCTAGCTGCTGACACTTCTTGCAGGCCATCTCCTGTAGGTTCTCATATCGCTGGTTCTCCTCTTCCTTGTCGATCTCCCGCCACTAGGCCCTTCATGTGTTGTTTTCAGCCTTGGCTTCCCTGCAGGCTTTCCCGTCACCAATTTTTTGAGGCTTGCTGCCACTGATCCTTCCGGTAGGTGTTTCTAGCAGCCGGACTTCCCTCCAGCCATCTCAATCTCGCTCTAGGACCGCTGGAGCACCTTCTTGCAACCAAATCTATCCTTCGCCGCTGATCCTCTCGCTACCGTCTCTTCCTCCTGCAATTCTACTCTTTCTATGTCTTGACATCCCAACCTTATTATTTGCTCAGTCGAAATCATGGCAAACTCCACCATTGAGCCTCCTATTGATAGTGCACTTGAGTTTACCAGAGGATCGATACCGAATTCAATCCCTTTGTAGACCAAAGAACTTAAAAAATAACATGAACTTTATGATCACCACCCACAAACTTAACAACTATAATTTTCTGCAATGGTCCCAGGCTGTCATTATTCTTCAAATGATGTAGGAAATTCGACCATCTCACAGGTATGATTCACGAACCTCTGAAGACTAACTCGACATATGCAGCGGGGAAGTGGAGAATTCCTTGGTGATGTCGTAGCTGAATAATTCGATGGTGACTTCGATTGACCATTTATACCTATTTTTTCCATCAACAAGTGCCCTCTGGATTGCAGTTCTTGATACCTAATCTGACATAGGAAATTCTGACCAACTCTATGAGGTTTTTAATAAGTCCGCGAGGCAAAACAAAGATCAAGGACCGTCACACAGTCCTACAATGACTTGGTTGCTTTATGGACAAAATGCGATCTCCAATACGACTACACTTGAGACACTCAAACTGATTTTTCCCTAATCCAAAAATTTTTGAAAAAAGATAATGTGTTCCAATTCCTGGCCGGCCTAAACAAGGTTTTCGATGAAGTTCGAGGCCGTATTCTTGGTTGGGATCCCGTTCAACTCGAGCATCATTCTCCGACATTCATCGAAATCAGGAGACTTGTCATGCTCTGCATCTTCACTCCTTCAGCCGAACCTTTCGCCTTGGTCTCTCTTTCAGGCCATCGTTGGCCAATCACTCCACGTGTGATTTCTGTCACAAACCCCACCATACCTGTGACAAGTGTTGCAAGCTCCACTGTAAACCAACAAATAAACCTTCAGCCAAATCCTCCGCTGTTAAGGGTCTTGTTACGACCTCAAAATCCATGATGGTACAACCGCCTCCCACTCGAAGCATCCTTGGATCACCAGCCGCATTAAGAGTTAGATGGAGCACTTAATTATGCTGTTTGGATTTAGTCAAGTCTCTTCCGGCCCGTCAACCTCTCATATCCGTCAAGGTAGCATTTTTACGACACTCTGCTTTTGCTTCTTATAATCTATGGATTTGATTCAGGTCAATTCTTCACGACATATTCTCCGTGCTCTGAGAGAGATTGAAAATTGCCGACACTCCTGTAATTCCATTGCGGGTAAAGAGTGTTGTTCTAACAGTCAAACTGACTTTAAAATACATGTTACACGTACCTATGTTGAAGTATAACCTCTTGTGAGTAAGTTTACATATGACATTTTCTGCAGATGTTTGTCTTTCAAGATTGTCATTCTGGGAGGATGATTGAAACTGCTAAGCAGGTAGTCGAGCTCTACTTCTTCCAAGGGAAATGCATTGCTGACGAGGATACTCCATCTAGTGGTTGTAGTTTTTCCCTGTCCACCGAACGTCCTATTTTGCTTTTACATTATCATTTGGATCATTCCAATTTTCAATATTTAAAACAGTTGCATCATTTGATGTTTACAAATAAAATTAAAAAAATATTGATTTCTTACTTTGATTGATGACCACACTTGGATGACTTGGATAAAGAAAAATCTGAAGTTTTGGTCATCTTAAAATAATTTCACTTATTCATTTTAAGCCAATTGAAATCATTCAGACTGACAATAGCCGTGAATTTTTTAACTCTATATTGGGATAATTCTTGGTAAGGGCATCCCCCATCATAGCTATTGTACGGACTCAACAAAATGGGGTAGTCGAGCGTAAAAACTGGGATCTTCTTAAAACTGCTCGTTCCATTATTTTTCAATATAATGTCCCGAAATATTTTTTGAATGAGTCCGTGTTTATCACCACATATTTCATCAATAGAGTCCCACAAAAATTCACAACTTTTGGAGTCCATTAGCCGTCTTTATATCGTGTTTTTTTATCAATCGGTTCTTCACCACTTTGGACTCCAAAATATTTGGGTGCACAACTTTTGTTTAGAAGATTGCCCCAACTCGTAGTAAATTTGATCCCCGTTCAATCAAATGTCTTTCTCGAACATTCTGCCACTCAAAAAAGCTATCGGTGCCTTGATTCTATCACAAATAAACTTTATGTGAGTGTCGATATTTCATTCTTTGAAAGTGTTGCCCTACTTCCCTAACACCGCCCCAAGTGCGGGGGAGCTAGATTTTTTCGACTCCGATGGATATTCCACCTACACCTCCAGCCACTATTATTAAGGAACCCTTAGTCCCACTGGATCCGCCACCAACCAGACCAACATCTTTTCCATCCACCCTCAGTGTCTATACTCAGTGCATCAAACCTTCGGTTGAGTCTTGTCCCAATGTTCCTACTCTTTAGCCCGTTGCCTCCTTACAGGTCTTGGAATCCACTCCAGCTGGCATATGCAGTACTACAATCAACTTGAGTGGATTACTCCTGCTCCGAATGAGAAGGTGAGTTCTACCATTGAGGTACGTAATCAGACACGCTCTCTTTATTTCATGGCAAAATATGTTTCATTCCACAGCTTATCGTCATCCTAAAGCATTTGCCACTTCATTGAGTGGATTATCCCCGCTCCAAAGCATTTGGCTCTTCCTTGATGAATTATCGTCTTTCATCAACTGTTGAAGTAAGGTTTGCGATGGTAGGTTGCAATAATGAATGAGATGAATGCCCTTCGGTGAAATAATAGATGGGATGTTGTTGAGCTTCAACGGGGAAAGAAAGCCATGAGTTGTCGGTATATTTTCAACACTGAATTTGTCTCTGATGGATCCTATGGACGTAATAAAGCGTGATTGGTCACTAAAGGCTACTCACAAACCTGTGGAGTTGACTATGAGGAGAAGTTTGCTTCGATATATTTTCAACACAAAATTTGACTCTGATGGATCTTTTGAATGTAATAAAGTGTGATTGGTCGCTAAAGGCTACTCACAAACCTGTGAAGTTGACTATGAGGAGAAGTTTGCTTCGGCATATTTTCAACACCAAATTTGACTTTGATGGATCTTTTGAACGTAATAAAGCGCGGTTGGTCGCTAAAGACTACTCACAAACCTGTGGAGTTGACTATGAGGAGAAGTTTGCTTTGGTTGCTAAGTTAAACACTATTCAAGTTCAGTTATCCCTTGTCATGAATCAAAATTGGCCCTTACTCCAACTGGATGTCAAGATTGCTTTCCTTAATGACAATTTCACAGAGGAGGTGTATATCTCTCTTTCTGCGGGCCCTAACTCTACTTCCTTTGGACAAGTGTGTCGACTGCAAAAGTCCCTTGACGGACTGATGCACTCCCTTCGGCCGCCTCGACAAGTTCGCGCAGGTGGTAATGGGTCATTCTCTCAAGCCCATTCTCTCATTCGATATTCCTCCAATGGCCATATTGTCATTCTCATTGTCTATAGTGATGATATTATAGCCCACAGGTAACGATCCGACAGCCTTGGAGTCTGATCAAGGATTCTTTGCCGTATCTTTTGAAATTAAGGATTTGGGGTCTCCCCGATATTTCTTAGGCATGGAAGTTGCTCTGTTCTTTTAGGGCATTTATCTTTTTCAACGCAATGTGATGAACCTATTAACCGAGACTAACTTTCTCCTTTACAAACCGGTTGCTGTTTCAATGGATCAAAATGAAAAATTTACAGATGTTCCCAATGCCGTTCCAGTGAATAAGACACGCTATCAATGCCTTGTGGGTAAACTTATTTAGCTCGCCCACATGTGCTACGACATCTGTTACGGTGGTATTGTAAGCAAGTTCATACATGACCCCTATGAGCACCATCTCAGTGCTGCACACTAGATTCTCCACTACTTAAATGACACACCAGACTTAGGTTTGTTGTTGTCTTTGCAGACCTCTCGCTCTATTGCAGTTTATATAAATGCTGATTGGGCTAGGTCCGTCCATGATTGACTATCTACCTCGAGTTATTGCTCCTTCATGTGGGGAAACCTTATCATTTGGAAAAGCAAGAAACATTTGGTGATTTCTCGTAGCATTGCAGAAGCCGAGATTTCTTCTATGTCTTTCGGAATATGTGAAGCTCTTTGGTTGAGCATCATGCTCAGCGAGTTATATATGTTGGTCTTTGTTTCTCTACACCTGTTCTGTGATAATGAAACCGCGATTAACATTGCTCATAATTCAGTCCAACATGATCACATAAAACATGTATAGATTGACCATCATTTCATCAAGGAGAAGCTTGATTCTGGGGAGATTTGTGTTCCATTTGCCCATCCTTTACTCAAATTGCAGATATCTTTACAAAACATCTTCCTCGGCCGTTGTTTGACGACTTCAAATCCAAGTTGAATATGATTGACATTCTTGCTTCAACTTGAGTGGGAGTATTAGAATTATTAGAATTTATTTATGTTGCATTATTAACTTTTAGTTATTTCCTTTCCTTTTCAAATACTTCTTACTTTATGTATTTTCCTGTTTATGTACTTTTTAGTTTATGTATTTTTTTATTTTATAATTGTTGTATCCTGTATTTATCTCTCTTTTGATATCAACAAAATTATTCTGTTGAATTCCAATAATATCAATTTAGTCAGCTATCACTTTACTTGTTTCATCCGCAATATACTTTCCAAGTAAAGAAATATAAAAAAATATTATGTACTCCTTGCATATAGGTTAGTAAAGTCAATCAGTAAGCCACACTTATAATCCTCTCCACAATCTGATATGGACGTACATATCTTGGGCTAAGTTTTCCTGTTTTCCCAAAACATTATACACACTTCAATGGACTTCCTTCGATAATGACAAATTCTCCAACTTCAAACATCACTAGTATGTGCTTGACATTGTAATATTTCTTTTGCCTATCCTGTACTTCCTTTAGTATGTCTCTGATAAGTCTAATTTTCTCAGTAGCATCGTCAACTAATTTACCTCCAATGAACCTTTTTTCACCGGCTTTAACCTAACATAAAGGTGTCCTACACTTTCTTCCATACAAAGCTTCATATAAAGCCATCCCTATACTAGCTTGATAACTGTTGTTGTAAACAAATCTTACTACAGACATATGTGATTCCTATCCTTCATCAAATTGAACGACACAAACTTAGTAGATCTTCCAAAGTCTGAATAGTTCTTTCTGGCTGGCCATTTGTCCGAGGGTGAGGCTGTGTTGAAAGTCAATCTGGTGCGCAAAGCTTCCTAAATATTCTTCCACAATTTGGAATTAGTTATCATTTTAGTCAGAGACAATAGACTTTAACATTCCATGCAATCTCACAATTTGATCCATATATAATTTGACTAATCTCTTAACTGGATTTGTTTGTCTAATCGACAAGAAATTGATAGAATTAGTAAATCTGTCAAAATTACCCAAATAGCTTCACGACCCCGACGTGATTGAGGCAACGCTATCACAAAGTCCATAGCAATCTCCTCTCATTTCCACTTTGAAATTGAGAAAGGCTGCAACTGACCTCCAGGACGCTGATGTTCTTCCTTCACTGGCTGACATTTAAGAGAGTCATAAATTCTTCCACACTTTCAATCTTAGCCTCCAAAATGTTCCTTTGAGATTTTGGTTTCATTTATTGCTCTGGTGAATAGTGTTACCAGATAAATGTGCATTCTATAGAATTTCCTGTCTCAAATTATTAACATTTGGAGCATAAACCTTGCCTTTATATTTCAATAAAATACCCCGAACTAACACATGCTTCTCCAAACTGCCTATATTAACCTGCTCCAAAATTTTTTGAACACTGCTATCTCTGGCTAATGAATTCTCGATTATCTTTCAAAGTGAATTGCACAATCAAACAATTTAATTGAGCCATATTGTTTTCAATATAATTAATTATGGATATCTTCAACTTTTCCAAATCCTTAAATGTTCTTGTTAAGTAAATAAACCATTTAAATTACATGAAACCTTCCTACTTAGTGCATCTGCAATCACATGTACATTTCTTGGATGATAGTGAATATCTTAATCACAATCTTTAATAAACTCCAGCCATCTTCGCAGCCTCATATTCAATTCTTTTTTAGCCAATATACATTTTAAAATTCGATGATCTGTAAATATTTCATATTTGACTCCATACAGGATAGTGCCTCCATATCTTTAGTGTAACCTCAACTACCGCAAGCTCTGAATCATGTGGTGTAATTTCCATACAAGATAGTGCCTCCATATCTTTAGTGTAACCACAACTACTGCAAGCTCCGAATCACGTGTGATTTCTTTCATTATTCTTTTATTGCATTCATTAAAGCATAGAAAACCATCTTTCTATGTTGCATCAGTACGTAACCCAAAAATTTAAAGACATCACTAAAAATTTGAAAACATCTGAACTTGAAGGAAAACTCAATAAGGAGCAGTCATTAAAAAGACTTTAGCTTTTGTAAAGCCTCCTCACAATGATCTGACTATTCAAACTTCATTGCCTTCTGTGTTAATCTTGTTAATGACATAGCAATATGTGAAAACTCTTCTATATATGTCTGTGATAACCCACCAGACCTAGAAAACTCCTAACTTTAGTAACAGTAGTAGGTCTTGGTCAATTTGCAATTGCCTCGATCTTATTATGATCCACAGAGATATAATCTCCACTAATAATATGCCCAAAAAATGCAACATTTTTTTTAGTCAAAATTCACATTTAGAAAATTTGACATATACTTTATTCTCTTTCAAAACCTACAAAACAACATATAAATGATCTGTATGATTAGTTTAATCTTTAGAATACATTAAAAAATCATTTTTAAAGACAATCACAAGAGTATCCAAAAAATGCTTGGAGACCCTATTTGTCAGATCTATAAAAATTGTTAGAGTATTCATCAATCAAAATGACATCACCACAAATTTTAGTGCTCATATATGGTCCTGAATTCTGTCTTCGCTATGTCATGCTCTTTAATCCTCAACTCGTGATAGACTGACCTTAGTTTAATCTTTGAAAAAATTCAGAAATCCCTTCTAATTGATCAAAAATGTTATCAATCATCGGCAGTGATATTTGCTTTTAATTTTAATCTTTTTCTACTCCTTATAGTCCATGAACATTCAGAGGCTCCCCCCTATCTTCAAGAATAATATTGGAGCTCTCTAAATTGAGGTAATAAGTTTGATAAACCCCTTATCTAGTAACTCTTGCAATTGACACATCAACTCTTGTAACTTTTTAACTGCCATGTTGTAGGGTGCCTTGGATACAAGTTCAAAACCTCATAAGAGCTCAATAGTAAAATCAATTTCTCGCACTGGTGGAAGCCTTGGTAAATCATCATGAAAAAATTCTAGTTGTTTCATCACTGGAATATCACCTAAAGACTTTACTTTCTCAGAGTTATTTGTTACCTAAGCAAGAAAACCTTGATTTTTCACGATTCAATAATTTGAAAGCTTTTAAAAAGGTAATTATTATGGATATCAATCTTTTATCACAACAATAACAGCTAGAAGCTTTTATCCCACTAAGTGGAGTTGACTACATGAATCCTTTTTCCCCATTATGCCTATTGAGTGTCGTTTTTCATTAATTCTAATAAACTAAGATCATTTTTTATACAACATGCCAAAGTCCTTTTTAGTTTACTTCTAGCTTTCTTAACATAAGTCGAATCTAAAACATCTACACTCCTAATTGGATTGTCAGGTGGTCGACATTTAATGTGACTAAGCCATCTTTAGGCGACTCTATCTAATCTTGTCTGCCATTGGAGCTATACTAACCCCTTTACTAAAACATTCGTTTCACATTTTATTTCTAAGGTCAAGCCACTCAACAGCCTAAGCATGTCAAGCCACTCAACAGGTCAAGCCACTCAACAGCCTAAGCATTCTTATCTCAGCAACACTTAACTTTGTTTTATGCTTCTCTTTTATAGGCTAATATTCTGCTCCATAAGGCATTACAGGTCTCACTACCATTTTATAAAATTTTCCTTTGAGTCTAAGTAGTACTTTTCTATCACACAATAGGACCGATGCATTCCTCCACTTCAGCCATCTAAGTTGAATTCTACTAATAACATGCCCATCTATATCACCATCACTTTGGGCCAATTTTTATCACCCCAAAATTTAACCTCTGCTTCTTTAAGTACATTTAGTTTGACAGTCTTTTTCTTACAATTAATTGTGACGAAGTTCTTAGACAACCAATGCATGCTTAAAATCATCTCAAATTCCTCCAAGTGTAATACAATAAGTTGTGCATCAAAATTTTTTCCACCAATCATTAGCTTCACCTCACATAATTGATTTACATTCATAGAAGTAACATTTAACATTCTAATAGATAATATCACATACATTAAGATATTATTCAATTGCATCACTTTAACCAATTCCTCAGATATAAAAGAATATGATGCTCTCGAATCAAATAATAACTGATACTTTTCATTTAAACCAATGCATTGAACATTTAGGATTTACTTATGCAGTTAATTACTTGCAAGATGTTATGAATGACATGACTTGAATTTTATTATCATTAAAGGCACAATTTCTTAAAACTCTTAAATGTAAAACATACTTGTGATAACTTCAAGAGATTCCCTAGCTTCATACTATGAAAATGCATAAATCATGGGTTGGACATTCTGTTGGGTTTGACTAGGCTTTAGCATTGATACTGAAGATTCAGCTGCTTCCGACTGGCCAAAGCTCCTCTTAAGTGGTGCAATATTTCCCCTAGAGTCTATTGGAGCCATTTGTCCTAATCTATGACACTTTTTTGCTATATCATTGTTAGTGTCAAAAAAAAAGTGTTGAATCCATAAAGACATTCACCTTAGTGAGACCTCCCACATTTATCACACTTCTTAGCTTCAGTTTGACTGCCAAGAGTTCGAGATCTGACTTTCTTAGCTACTGTATTTCCTGACTTGAAGGACTACCTGCCCTAAGAACCCTGAGGAAATTTCTCCTCTTTTGAAAGTTCTCCATCCTTTGGTTACTTTCTAAATCTAGCTCAATCCTACCGACCCTCTAATGTGGGGCTTAGGGCCAGCTGGGTGAACCTGTTGGCAGAGGCATCGGGTGAACCCTGTCTAAGGAAGGGCTAATCTTGATTCTTACGGTACTGAGCGGGAGCGGCTTTTAGAAAAAGGGATTGTCCCGATTCCTTCAAATTTGAGTGGGAGTGACACCTTGAATGAGCGACAATGGTGCTAGCCCCCTTCCTCCTTCCGTTTTTGTCTTTTATCCTTTCTTTTCTCTTTCCCATCTGAGGGGAGTTTATTTAGTTTCTTGATGCTGAAATTAGGGTTATATTATGTTGTATTGATTATTTCAGACTTTTATCTTGATAGGGTTGTATCTGATGATTGGTGGTTCTTTGGCTGAATCTTGCTCCGAGGTGGTGTTGTATCTTCCTCAATCATTCTTCTCCCCTTTTCTCCTAGCTGCCGACCTACGCACTTTATTCAGTCCCTCTACTGCCACCTCCTCATATCCATAACCTACTGTCTAGCTCTCTCTACCGCCTTCTAGTAGCCGGTTTCTATCCCACTTGCTGCCGGTCTTGCCGTCCAGCCGTCCCAACCACCCACTTGCATTCTACTGGCCACCTACAACTCATTCCCCTCATCAACTGGTACTCTTTTCTACTCTTCCTTGCAGTTTTCTCTGCCAGCCTACCCCGCAGCCCTCAATCTTCCCCTTACACCTTGCCTCCTTACTGACACTACCTGCGCCCTCGGATCTGCTCTTCCGGTCCTAGCCGGAGAGTGGTTTGTTATTGTATTTCCCTTTTTCTTTTGTGTCATGTTGTTACTCTAATTCAGTGTTAATAAAAAATTGCTTTCTGTTTCTGCTGATTTCTTTACTAGTGTTGGCATTACCCTCTCCACTAAAACACTATAATCATCGATCTTAAAGGAATCAATGATTTTCTAATCATATCTTTTAGTGCAAACAAAAACCTGTGGCACTTCTCCTCTACATTTGAAAATAATTGGGTCGTATACTATAAAAGCATAGTGACATCATCTTCATACTGCAATATTGAACGACCACCCTGTTCCAACCGGATAAATTTGTCCCACATCTCTCTTGGTTGACAGTGGTCTGAACTAGTTTCAAAAAGTGTTCACAAACTCGTCCCACTCAATCTCCCTACGGAATCTTGTTTGCATGCCCTTAGGCTCAATCAGCTTGCTTGCTCTGTTAATGTAACTACTCGACTTCGGTCGACATATGGAAGTCTTGCACAAATTGCTCGCTCGTCTTGTGCTCGACTATCTACAAATGCTCTCTATCTCACCATCTCTCTCTATTATCTCTAGTGAGGTCTGTTCCCCTCTCTATTTTTTTGTTTCTTGGCTTGGTTCACACTTATTCTCTCTATTTCCCCATTTTGTAACGTGGAACCAACTAATACCAATTCAATCGAACTGGCATTAATCATTTCAATCTTTCCCTAAATGTAAGGCTTTAGACAAAATACCTTCTATTTTTTATGATTCTTCATGAAAATTATGAGAACATTTCTTGATATCGAAAAGTGAACCCTTTGGCAAATTTAGGGAAATGTAAGTCTCCGATTGAAACTCAAATAGGAAAAATGGTTACAAAGCTGAGAATTGACAATGACTTGGAGTTCTTGCTCAGATAAAATAATGAAGTATTGCAAAGAGCGAGTAGTAGCAGAACTTCTCATAGTAAGGTTGCGTTAGTAAAATGGGCTATCTGAATGATAACATAGAGCTGTTCTTGAAAGTTTAAGATGCATGTTGAATAATGTCGGTCTACCAACATATTCTGCACACAAGCAGCCAATACGACCGAAGTATTAGTTGATTAATAAGTGTCCTTTATCAGTTATTAAGTTTAAGCCTTGCAAGCAAGGTGGATTGGACAACCAGGGGTCTACAATAGACTAAAGGTATTTGGTTGTATTACTTTTGCTTATATTAGGCATGAAAAACTACTGCCAAGGCTTTGAAATGTATTTTAAGGAGTATCCTGAGAATATAAAAGGGTATGAGTTGTGGTGTTTGGGGCTAGTCTTCCTTAATGTTTGATAAATTGGGAATGTTATTTTAATAAAAAAATGGTGGATTTAGTATCAAGAACTAAGGCTCAAAGTAAGATTGATGATGCAAATCAAATATTACCACCATAGGTGTAGCAATCAAAGATTCATGGAATTCTTTGTGGCAATTCCTACAATCAATTGAAGTTGAACTTGAAGAACCTAGGCAAGAAACTATTTAAGAAGGCTAAGAAGAACATGGATGCATGATTCAAGCACCATGATGGTATGGACAAGCAAATATCATTTCTTATGGTTTTATGGCTAATTCTCTGTCAGGCGGTGAACCAGGTTCCCATAAAAATGCCATTGAAAGCGCAGGTTCTCATAAAAATTCCATTGAACGCGCAGAAGAAATAAATGGCAGCAAACTATGATTGAAAATATTATATCTGTTAAAAAGAACATTTCTTAGGAGTTGGTAGACAAGCCATGAAATAAAAAAGATTGTTTGTTGTGGAGTTGAAGAGCCAATTTTCAAAGCTAGGCTTGTATTTAAAATCTGATGCTTTGGACATTATTTTTGTGTATTCAGATACAAATTTTAGTACTTGGAAATGCTCGAAGATCATTTACATGTTACGTCTTTAAGTTGTTTGGAAAGAAAATTTGTATCCAGTTGTAGCTTTTTTAACAATTGATACTGAATATATTGATGCATTTGCATCCATAACAAAAGCTAATTGGTTGGAAGGGTTGATTTCTGAATTGTTTCAACTTTGAACAGTTGATTTATTTGGTGCTTGTGTCAAGTGATAATCAAAGTGCAGTATTTCTCTCCAAGACCCCCAGGCACCATTAAAGAACTAAGCATATAGATGCGAAGTTCCATTTCATCAAGGAGATATTTGCTAACTGGATTGTGGAGATTGTAAAGATTCCAACAAATGATAATGCACCCAATATGTTAACAAGAACTTTTGATTCCTCAAAATTTGAGGATGGTGAGAAATCTTGTTGTTGGTTTCTTGGAACATAATTAATTAAAGAACCTCTGGAGATTTCTTTATTGGTTCTTTGAATTTCCTTAGTTTAATTGTGAAAGCTGTTTTTACTGTTTTTTATTGGAGGGTTATTTGTGTAAATTTTAGTTTGCATAGACACTTTAGTTTCTGGCTTTAAATAGACCCTCAACCTTGTTGTAATTCATCCCAATTCATTCTCCTCTTGTATCCTTTCCTTCCTCTTGCTCTGTTTTTATTTTTTGGTTACTGATCTGCATGTTATAATCACCTGCTGCTGAGAGGAGAAACCTGTAGGTAGCTTGCTGCAGGGTTGAGGACTTTCCTGTCTAGATGGATTGGCCGTAGAATTGCTCTGTTAGGAGAAACCGTGAAGTTGCTCTGCCTTGGAGGCAGAAGAAGGGCTGCCGTTGCATGGTTTTCTGTATATTTCATGGAGCAACCTGCCATGAGGATCGGCTGAAGTTGAACTGTTGATACTGAAAACTGATGGGCTAAGGAGGGCTAGTGTTGAACAAACAGAACCTGAGAGCAATATGTGGGGTAGAAGAATTGGTAAACAGTTGAAATTTGATTCCTCTTCTTGAAATTCTGTGGTTTTTGTCAATGTCATGAAATATAGATTTTCCTTTAATTTAATTCAGTGTTTTTTATAATTCAAATGATATTAGGAGTCTAGTTTGATGTTTTCTTATTGAATTGAATAGGCGTAATCTGCCCAGACTTTTTTTGGGGAAAAATTTTGTACCTAATAAGCTATTCATAAGGCATGTCATACTTGGGAAAATAATATCATCATAATTTCCATACTGATTTCCTTTTGATATCATGCTGATTCTCATATGCATGAAGCACGGTTGCATGTGGAAGCAATCAGCATTGACTTTTGCTTGGTCTGAAATGACAATGTATTTTTGTACACAAAATAGAATAATATGCATATGTGGCATTCACACATTCTATCTGCTGCCTCTTTTTGATATGCTGCAGATTCTGTCCTTGGTTGAATTACAGTATGGTTCATCTTCTTAATTATGGCTCCTTTGCTTTGGGAAGCCCACAAACTTTAAATGTCATAAAGTTTTGTTTATTGACATTACAAATATTTTGAATATAGAACAGTTGTAGTTTTTATCTGTTATTGGTCCAGATAAATCTTTAAGTGGATTATTTCAGAAAATTTTCCATAATACCTATATGTATATGTGCACATGTAACGACATTTTGAATGATGGAATCTCATGCAAATAAAATGTTTTATGAGCCACTTGATCTTAGAACTATCAGATGCTTTTATTTAGCTATTTTTTCCTTGTCAATCACCTTGCTGAAGTGAAACAAGGAGCAATAAAGGCGCTCCACCCATTATATCAGCTATTATTAGTCATGAAATTTGGTAACCCTATCTCCTATTTCTGTTGTTTTTTTTATGGCGAAGGAACTCTTGCTTGTGTGTGTGGGTTGATGGTTGTGTGGGACTGTACTCACTACTCTGAAGACTTTTGCAGTTTCTGTAAAGTGTTTCACATCTTGGAGATTTATGATCATTTTATCATTTTACATGAAATAATTTTTTCCGATAGCCCTTCTCAGAAAGTTATAAATTGGCCTAATTTTGCAGGTTTTTACTGCAATAAAACATTCTATTCAACATTCACCAGACTATCCGGAATCACATAATGTACATGGGCTAATCTGCGAAGCCTGTTCAGATTATGAATCTGCAATATCTGCATATAGGCTGGCAAAGTCTGTCCTCAAGATTTCTCAAGTCTCACAGGAATCTGTTAAATCTTGTTTAAATGATGTTTCTGTAAATCTTGCCAGAGCACTGTGCCAGGTATTCACTATTTTGGCTGCATTCAAAGGCTGAGAAGTTGGCCTTGATATTATTAAATTATAAATATAATTATATTTTTGGATGTCATCTTACTTGCATTGAGTCAGCTATATTATTTGTAGATTCTTTTTATATATTGGCATATTTCCATTGTCCGTTCATGTGTGCATGGAATCAATGCCCTGTTACTTCCATTTGGGGTCCGTCAATAGGATGGAATTCTTTTTTCCTCATTTGATGTGGCTGCATCTTGTTAAATTTTTTTATTAATTCAGTTTTATCGTAGGCAGGGCATATGCTTGACGCAGAACGGGAGTGTGAAGCTTTGGATAAAGATGGTATGCTTTACGAACCAATGAATTCTTTTATTACCAGCCACTACATCTAACCATTATTTAATTTGGGAACTATAAAATGCCTTTGTTCATGATTACCTCTTTGTAGCTTATTTGAATAATTGTACATGAGTCACATGCTCCTCTTTCTCTCTTTTGGGAAGTTAGATCATTCTTTGTACGTGCATAATTGCATAGTTCTGTACCCTTTTTGATATTTTGAAATAAATACAATATGCAAGGTTCAAGGATAATATCAATGAAGTCTGACAATTATTACTGACAGACATTCTAGATGGACTATGGAAGCACTATTTGACATATGCTTCAGCCTACTATGATTCAAAATTTTTATCTAAAATTTTTTAACATATTTTATTTTTTTAATTATCAAAGGTATGCTTGATTACAAAGGCTTGCAAATTTATGCTGTTGCATTATGGAAACTGGGGAAGAAAGACCAAGCTCTCCATGTGGCAAGAAATTTGGCTAAGAATGTATCAACCATGGTGAGGTCTTCTTGTGCTGCTGCCACTGGCTTGATAATCCAGTTGATATATCATATTTCTGGACTGGAATCTGCTATTTCAACTATTTCAAAATTGCCTACGGAATACTTGATTGGAGTAAAAATGAGTCTGATTACTTCTGCAGTTAATGCTTTAGATCCAAATAATCGGTTACAGTTGCTTCTTCAAACTAATCTTCGTCCTTTTCATGCTTATGATTTGGTTGTGGAAATGCATACCATAACAGCTATGAGTAAAATGGTAATTTCTTACAATCATCTAATCTTCATAGTTTTCTATTCCACTCCATTTTTGACATTTGAGTAAGTTTGCAATTGTACCCAAATTTGCAGATCCAGAATGATTCAGAGCGGTCTCTTGACATTCACAGTGGCATTAAATACCTGAGGAAAGCTCTACGTCTGTATCCTGACAGTCGATTACTAAGGTGACATTTATAGTGTGTCACTATTATTTTTTCTTAGAAAACAAACTTAATCTTATTTTGGTTTATTTTCCTTAAACTGTACATATTTTGTTAAATTGAAAATTTGTAATGCTTGTCATGTTAAAATCTTATAATGAAGTTATTTATGGAAAGGAACCATATCGGCGCCAAGGCTCACAATCACCTGAGGCTATAGGTCAAAGCCCGGGCAATGTGCTGTGGTGCTTCATTTGCTTTAGTTCAACAACCAGCTTATAGTTTTTGTGTACTTTGCTTATGTCTATCTGCTTATAGTTGGCGAGAAGAAGTGATGGTAAAGGCTGGATATGTTCTTATTTGTTGAAGAATGATGTAGTTTATTGTGTTAGTTTTTTGGTATCGATAAAGAAGACATATGCTTTCATTATATGTGGCAAAGAGTAAAGCACAGCCTTAGTTTCTCCGACGAGTTGGGTCATGGGTTGATTTTATCTTCAGATATTCTAACCTTGTCAAACCCTACCCAGCATGCCGGGTAGTGGATAATAAATAAGTGAGCGGGTAAGCTTGGTTAAAGTAGAGAAAGAAGTTTCATAATGTTTGAAAATAATGTTGCAAACAAACAAAAACAAACTAGATAAATGAAACAAAATACTTGGACAACTAGGCAACTTCAAGCCTTTTTAAATTATAGAAATCATTTAAGGAAAAAGAACAGTAATTAGAGCTTCCCCAAAACTCGAAGTATTGGGGGTGAGTTGGAGCAGTCAATGCTTAGTTCATCCTTTGCATAACCCAACTTTCTACTGATGAGGGGTGTTTATAGCATTATAACAGATAAAAACCTACAAAAACCGCTTAAGAATTTAATAGCTGATAGTAACCTATAATTTTTTATTAAATTCATTATTTAGCAAATAATCAGAAGGTTAAAAGGTGGTGGAAACAAACATATAAAAATCATAAAATTGAATGATGAGTATATAACCCATCTACACCAAAAAACTTCTATTTACCATCCATCACAAATAAGATACTAATATATGGTAGATGCCGTAGGCTTTAATCAATAGCCCTCCACTTGTTAACTTATAGAAATCATAAAATTAGATGATTAATATATAACCCATGTATACTAAAAAACCTTCTATTTACCATTCATCGCAGATAAAGATGCCAATAGTAGCCCTTCACTTATTAGATGATGGTGATGAGAGCACTTAATTTGACCTTTTACGTGACTTTATTTTCTTAGACAATTTTTAATTCAAGGTATGTTTTGTATTAAATAATATCAATCTGTATTGCATTTATACCCATCACTTTAACTCGTTATAATTATTTAACGAACATAAAGATGGTTTTATATTTTCATATCAACTTTCATTTGGACTATTGTAATTTAGGCCCCACATTGTTGGGTTCAAACTATGACAACTCCATTTTGGTATTATTTTGTTTTTTGATTGACATGGTGTTGACCTCATTTTTAGTGAGGTCTTAGTCTCCTACTCTTAGAACCTAGGATCTAGCTTTAAGAGTTCTTCTTGACCATCCTAGTGGACTAGCAATGGAGCTCACATCCCGTAGAACTTCAAGCCACTTCTTGACTCATTTTGTGATTTTGTGAAGAACTAGGTTCCAAGCACTCAACTTCTAGTTGCAAGGGCTAAGGACCAACATGTAGAGGGCCCGAAATTGAGTTCCTATAGAGTTCCTATAAAATCAAACAGCCTTAGGTGAATCCTTTGTGACTCGATTACTTGCGAACGCCGCATTTCACGCACTCACTGCACCCCATACGATTTTGACTTGATTTAACTTGCACACCGGTGAGTTTGTCCGGACGACCTCAGATGACGAAACAGACCGCGCCGACGCGTCCGGAACGTCAACTTTAGCTAGGAAGGACACCCATATTGCTAGGGTTACACGCGCGCACATATGGCACGAAAATCAATGCACATTCTTTTATAGGGATGCGGGCTCGGGCTCAACTCATGTTCAACTCGGGTTTGATTTGGGCTGGACTCGGGCTGACCAAGGGTTAAACATTTTGAATTTTAAATTTCTGAATTTCAAATGTGACATTTAATCTCTATCTTAATGGAGAGTTATGATTTTCCAATTGCGTGAATGGAAACAAATTAATCCCCTGCCAATCCTTCAGGTAACGACTAGCTCTAAATTTTGGATATACTAATTTGCTTCTTCTTCTTGACAGAGCAGGCCGAATTTGAAAACCTCTCTTCTACTCGCGCTCGTCTCTCCTTCCTCGGCATCAAACGAAGTCCCTCGCTCTCGCTCGGCTCCATACACCGAAGCCCTCGCCCATCTGCACTAGTTCCGCTCGCCAGCTCCTCTACTCCCGCACGCCTACTCAACCGAAGCCATTCAACTCCATCTTCCTCTCTCAGTTCGGACCCACTCTCTCGCGCTCCCTCTGCTCGATCCCGTCTCCCGCACCGAAGGAGCCGCAGACCCCGCTCGATGCCTCGCCCGCTCGCCTCTTCCCTGCGTCGAAGAAGCTAGATCCTGATTCCTACACTCGCCTGCTCACCTCTTCCCTGCGTCGAAGAAGCTCGTTCCCGATCTCCCGCACCGAAGAAGCTCTGCTCCTTCCATGCAGACCCCGCTTGCTTCTCCTCCCCCGATCGAACAACAGTTCGAAAAAGCTCTGCTCGCCTCCCTTACTCGCGTACTTCTCCTCCTTGTTCCGAAGACCTGCTCGCACAGGAAACCCCTCACTTCTTCCTTGTGCGACGGAAGCTTCCTCTGCTGTCCTGCTCCTCTGCGAATCGATAGAAGCTCCCGATCGCTTCTCCTCTGTGCGACGGCACTAGTGCTGTACCGAACTCCCTCCTTTCTCAGCGCCGAAGCCTCGCTCACCTCTCGTCCGCGTCAAAGTCGCCCGCCTCACTCGGCTGACCCTCCCTCGCCCGCATTGGAGGTAGGAAAAATGCAAAACTTCCCAGAACCATCTCGATTCGACCTCCCTCTTCCTCACGCACGCAGGAGAAGCGCCCGAATCTCTTCTTTCCTCGACTGAAGCTGCTAGCCTCCTCTCGCCAGCGAACAGCAACCTCCAGACAGGTATATTCTTTCCAGCTATTGCATCTTATGGCTATCAAATTATTTACATAAATTTGAAATGGAATCCTCTCCACATGAATACATTCTTACTCATTTTGGAGAAATATAAACAATATTTCGATTATATGTTATTGCTGATTTTAAACGCCCATTTACTGGTTTTATGTTTAAAGCACCTAAATGCAAATACTTTGATGTTCCAATGACCATTTACTTGCTGATTTTAAACGCTCATTTACTGGTTTTATGTTTCAAGCACCTAAGTGCAAATACTTTGATGTTCCAATGATCATTTACTTGCTGATTTTAAACGCTCATTTACTGGTTTTATGTTTCAAGCAATTAAATGCAATATTGTGAAGTCCCAATGACCATTTACTTATTGATCTTAAATACTCATTTGTTAATTTCATGTTTCGAGCACTCGAAAGGAAATACTATGAGGCTCGATATGATCGTTATTCTAGGGTTTGAATGCTTCTTTGCAGGTCTATATTCTTTCATTTCCGAATGCCTCCCTAGGGGGTTGTTTTACATGTTGTTTGGTGGATTTAAACATTGCAATTTTTAGGGTTTTGTCAACTGATTCATGTACTATTTTAAAGACAATCTGTTAACTGATTTTGGAGAGTTTACACACTATTTTGGATTGAATTTCCTAACTGATTTTTGGATATTTAAAATTGATGCTTTGATCTTACATGAAAGCTGTTTGGGAATTTTAAAATTACTGTTTTAGGGCTGATTTTGTGAGTTTTACCTACTGTTTTGGAGGCACTAAAACCATCATTTACGGGGTTGTTTTAATCACTGTTTTAAGACATTTTGGTGGGCTGACTTTGAGGTAATCTACGCACTATTTTGGCAAGACTTATGTAGCCTTTAAGTGTTGATTTACATGCGGTTTAGAATTTGTTTAACGGACCCCTTTTTGCCCAATGTTTTGGGTTTCAATTGATTATTATTTAAACGCTTTTAGGTCGATCCACTCGTTGTTTTCTCCCTTGACTTTACTAGTTTTGGAAGTATGTCTGCCTCATCTTTCTTTTGTTTTACTTCTTTTTAAATGGTTAAGTCATAAAGATGAGGATTGATGATTTAATTAATTGGAAGATATAGAAAATTTTAAATCACCTTAAACATAAGTTAAAGATTAGGTTTCCTAGAGTTTTAGGAGCACATACCTTAGGTGAGAATCCATCCACCTAGTCCTCAGTGTAGACCTCTTAGACTTTAGGTGTACACCCTAAGTAAGAGCTCATCCACCTAATCCTCAGCCATCCACCTAGTCCTCGATTTAGGCTTCATACACTTTAGAAGCACACCCTAGGTGAGAGCCCATCCACCTAGTCCTCGATTTAGGCTTTCTAGAGCCCCATCCACCTAATCCTCAATGTAGGTTTCCTAGTCTTTAGGAGCACACCTTAGGTGAGAGCCCATCTACCTAATCTCTGCAGTGTAACCTCCCAAGATTTTAGGAGCATACATTAGGTAAGAATATATTCACCTATTCCTCGAATGCACATTGAATGCACATTGAAACTAGACATGACCCTAATTCACAAACTGATCAAGACACTAGACACCGGGATGCACCGAGACGTGACCCATGCTTCCTTAATTAAATCAACGGTAAAATTTCCTTAATGACTTAACCTACAATGAAACCCAATGCATCAAGATTTGAGTTTGAATATTACACTCAAATTCTCCTG